TTTAGTAGAGATAGTCAACATGGCTTTACACGGAGGAGATCTTGTAACAGAAATTTGACTGAGTCTTTTGAGGAGGTGATGAAGATGATTGATAAGAGTAGGGCAGTGGATGGTATCTTCATGGCTATGTCACCTAAAAAGCACTTGATAAGGTCCTTCATTGTAGATTGGCCCAGCAGATTAAGTCACGTTGAAACCATGGTGACCTGGCAAGTTGGATACAAAATTAGCTCTGTCAAAGAAGACAGAGTGCGTAGTTGTGGGATGGTGATTTTCTGATGGGAAGCCTGGAACCAGTGGTGTTCTGCAAGGATTAGTGCTGGGTCCTGTGCAGTTTGTGCATGTATATACAATATATATATTATATACAAAAATGTAGGTTGTCTAATTAGCAAGTCTGCAGACGACATGAAAATTGGTGGAGTTGTGGATAGTGAGGAAGGTTGTCAAACAATACAGCAGAATATAGATCAATTAGAAGTTGGGTAGAGAGATGGCAGATGGAGTTTAATCTGGACAGGTCTCGGGTGATGCATTGTGGGAGGTCAAATACAAGAAGAAAGTAAACAGTAAATGGCAGATCCCTTAAAAGCATTGATAAATGGAGGGATCTTGGGGTGCCAGTCCATAGCTCCCTTCAAGTGGCAAAATAAGTAGATAAATTGGTTAAGAAGGCATATAGCATGCTTGTCTTCGTTGATTGGGGCATTGAGGATAGGGTTGGCAAGCCATATTGCAGCTGTATAAAATTTTAGTTGGGCCACATTTTGGAGAATAGCGCACAGTTCTGGTTGCCACGCTATAGGAAGGATGAGGAGACTTTGGAGACAGTTAAAAAAAGTTTAACAGGACATTGCCTGGGTGGGGTGTATTAGCACTAAGGAGAGGTTGGACAAACCTGGATTGTTATCACTACAGCATTGCAGGCTGAAGGGCAACCTAATAGAAGTGTAATGAAATTATGAAAGGCATGGATAGGTTGGATAGTCAAATACTAGGGGACATGGGTTTAACGTGAGGGGAGAAAGTTTAAATGTGAGTAGGTTTTTTACACAGAGTGGCAGGTGCCTGGAACATGCTTTATTGGGGTTGAGGGGTGGGGGGGGGGGGGGCACGGTGGTCGAAGCAGATACTATGGCAAAGTTTAGGTGGTGTATAGACAGACACACGAACAGGCAGAGAATAGAGGGATACAGACCATGTGCAGACAGATTAGTTTAGAACGGCATCATGGTCAGGGCAGACATGGGGGCCAAAGGCTTGTTTTTACTAGAATGGACTGACCTTCAAAGGTTGCTAAATGCATAAGTATTATATGGAGACTGGAAGAGTGACGTAAAGACTGAAAGTCATCTGGTATGTATATAGAACAACATTTTTTGACAGTTAATAATATTCTGAATGGCCCTGATAACCCAACTAGGCAGTGGGAGAAGAAAAATGGTGATGTTTCTGACTGAATTTGGTTCAGAGCTGTATGAAACTATTTGCTCAGCTTGCTCATCGCTGTCAGACATTAAAGTTTTAGAAGTTCTACTATCTCAAACAGAGACCAGAGAAAGCTATGAATTTGGAACAACGCATTACAGGGTATTGGAGAGTTTCTCCAGACTTGGTTAAAAACTACTTGCTCGCTGTAATTTTGGAGAATTTCAGGTGAAAGCATTGTTGATTTGGGCAAGATTTGAGTGTGATTTAAGAAGTGAGTGGATTCGCAGTGAGTTGTTGACTTTACTAAGGCTAGCTTCTGACACAACTTGACAACCAGTTCTGAGGAAGGGTCGCCAGACCCGAAATGTTAACTCTGTTTTTTTCTTCACAGATGCTGCCAGACCTGCTGAGCTTTCCCAGAGACTTTGTTTTTGTACCTTTATACCTAAGATGGTGTCATGAATGGCAACTTGTAAACTTTTCACTGTACTCATGTGAGTACATGTGACAATAAACCTAATTCAGTGCCTTTCAGGTCAGAGTAGGCTGCTTGTTTGACACCATATCCACAACATCCATTGCTGATGCAGATCACCTGGATGAGCTCATACAAGGAACACAAAATTAACATTCAGGTACAGAAAGCAATTTGGCAGTCATTTGGCATACTGGCCTTTAATCCAAGGGAATGATGTACAGGAATAAAGAAATATTGTTAGTTATACAGGACTTTCGTGCCCACATCTGGAATTCTGTTTGCTATTTGGCCTCCACATTGACAAGGGAGAGACATTACAGGAGAGACACAAAGGGGACACTAGAATGGTCCTAGATTGAAAAGGTTGTTAAATGGTGAGGGGCAGAAGGGTTGGGCTGGTGGGTTTGAAGGGAAAGTGTGCCTGATAGAGGTGTATAAGATTATGAGGGGCATGGACAGGATGGATAAAAAGCAACTGTTTCCCTTAGTGGGAGGTCAAAAACAAGGTGCCATGATTTTAAGTGAAAGGTAGGAGGTTTAAAAGGAATTTGAGGAATATCATCGTCATCCAGAGGGTGGGCGGCTGGAATACACTGCCTGGGAGTAAATCTGAGGCAGAAGAGCTCACAACTTTCAAAACTACTTGTGTGAGCAGAACGTGTCATTACATTAAATGCTTTGGGTGTAGTATGGGAAAGTGGGACTAGGATGGATAGTGGTATATTTTTGATGGCACAGACTTGATAGGCCAAAGGGACCTGTATGATTCTATGGTTCTGATGGCCAGGTAGTCCAGAAACAAGGGTCACAGTGTGAGGAGACCGGGTAGGCCATTTAGGATTGAACAGAAGATAAATACCTTCAGAGAGAGCGCGAGCAGGTGATAGACAGGTGGGCCTGAAGAATTTTCTGCAACAGGAAGTAGTTGAGGCAAAACATTGAAATGTTTTCAAGGAGATATTGATCTTAGGACTAAAGGGATAAAAAGGACATGGAGAGAAAACAGGAACAGGGTCGTGAGTTGATCAATGATCATACTGAATTGTGGAAAAGGCTTGAAGTGCTGATGTCTACTCCGTTCCTACTTTCAATGATTCTATTCCCTACAGTGACTCTAAAGAAGACTGAGCTTGAGTGCCAAGAAATTGAATGGACTTGCTAAAGCATGTGACTGAGAAGCATCCCGGAGTTTTCATATTGCATTCTCATATAAGCTTCTTCGCATTTAGGTGGAAGGCTTATCAACGTACAAGCTTTTTTCAAAATAAAACATATGATGAAGCCATTGCTAGCTAGAGAACATTTGTTGCTTATCTCAAACTGGCTTCACCAGGTCTTGTCAAAGCACTGTGGTGTCAGTACACCCACATGCAGTCAGAGAGGGTGCTCCAGGTCTCAGAAAACAGTTAATTTTAATTCAAACCAGAATGCTCAGGGCTGATGTCACAAAAGGGAAAGTGGAAATTTGAAACTAATGCCCCCAAAAATACTCAAAAACTATTTGAAAAAAAATGAACACTATTTGGTAAATTTTGTTTGGTTGAAGGATAGAGATCAGCCACCACAGCTAATCAAGGGGCTCAATAGTCAATCCCATCTTCCTATGCCATTACATTAGCCACGTGTATCATTTCAAGACCAGTCAGTCAGGAAGAACCAACTATAGTCCCAGTTACAATTGCAGAATATCTGCCAATATTCACTGCCAAGGTCACTGAGGGACCTCGCAGAACAAGGAGAGTCACTGTTTAAAGGGAGGAAGAGTTTTCAGGGATGAGTAGTTTGGACAGAACAGGCAACAAACCTTAACAGTAAGTTTTAGCAGCAACTTTAAACATGACATCTTAGGAACGATACACTGGCCTTGAAGAGAATACAATGTCGGCTTACAAGAATGATACCTGGACTTCAGTGGTTATGAGGCGAGATTATACAAATTAGGCCTGCTCTCTCTAGAATTTAGAAGGCTAAGGGGAAGGGAATCTGATCAAAGTAGTCAAGCTATTAACAGGAAAATACAGAATAAACTATTTCCATTCACTGGGGATTCTAGAACTAGGGGGCATAATCTTAGGATTAGGGCCAGACCGTAAGAGATGTTAGGAAGCACTTCTACACACAAAGGATGGTAGATGTTTTGGGACACTGTTTCACAAACTGCAGTGTGCACTAGATCAGTTGTTAAATTTAAATCTGAAATAGGTACATTTTTGTTAAGGTATTAAGGGAGATGAGCCAATGGCAGGCACACGGTGCTAGATCACAGTTTAGCCATGATCTCATTGAACTGCAGAACAGAATTGAGGGGCTGAAGAGCCTATTCCTGTTACTTTGTCCTAAATGCCCTGGAAAGCAAGCTGGATTTCTCCAACAATTTCCAAGGTTCACATTACAAATGTAGTTATGATTTAAAAACAGGACGCTGTGACGCAGGTTTCAGGTTTCAGGAAAAACAACATCTAAACAAACAAACTTGAAAAATCCTTTAATGATGGTCAATGATTAGAAACAAGCTAAGAGAGTGGAAAATGTACAAAGGTTGTAACCAAAGTGTAGTGTTTGAATCGATAAGTGAAGTTTCATGTTCCAACACTGCACTACAGAAGTTTACTATTTGGCTCGAAAGAAAAATAACACAATGCAGAACTCAAATTAAACATTGGACTGTGACACGGTTTAGCCCCAGGAAGCAGGTCCAGCGAAGCTTGGTGACTGTGTTAAAGGTCAACATTTAATTCTGAGCATCAGGATGCTGAAAGGCGAAGAGGCAATACACAGCTCCAACCCTGAGCCAGGACACAGTGCTGATGAAATAAGGGCAGGTACAAATCAAGACAGTGCCTTGGCAGCTGCATCTTTCCCCACAGTCAGATGCTCCCCACCAACGTTCTTGCGCAGATAGGGGCCCCTTCGCTCCCCTCGCCAACCAAAAATCAGGGGACCCCCTCGCCTGGTGTCTTCACCTAGAGTCAGGGGGCCCATCAACTCTTCTCATACACACACACACACACACACACACACACACACACACACACACA